AAAACCTCAGCCAGGGAAGATTGTCTTCCCGGAGGGCTTTGTCACAGACAGCGAGAGAAGCCACATGGAAGGGGCAGCATAAAAAACAGAATTCCCGTGAGCCTTCGTGTAAGCCTGGGGTGGCCTTCCCTTCGGAGCGTTATTATGGAGATCAAAAAGGGGCTTGTCTCTGGTGGCTCAGATGTCCTCGGTCAATCTTGGTCTTCCTTGTACAAGATTCAAGCTTCTAGTCCTCACAGTATGGGGGTGCTTCAACTGGGGTGACAAAAATGGTGAAAGCAGACAGAGACCAATGGTGTCTTGCTATCAGTGGGACTGCAAATTTATGCATAAATCGGGACTCTTTAAGAATTTGTTGAATTCCAAAATGCAGAGGGGTATCAATGGCTGGCTGACCAAGGAATCTTCTAACAGCTACATTTTGCCTTTTGTTTTTTTTGCCTATTATTCTCCTGTCCTTTGCCCTAGACTCAACCTGCCTTCCCCCCACCCCCTTGCTTGTATTGGGTTTCTACCACCACCAGAGTGACTGGGCTGCACACACTCCCCCCCCCTTTGGACAGGGCAGCCTTGCCTGACAGGCTCCCTCTTTCCAGCATGGTGACATATGACCCTTGCTCTGGCAGGGGTAGGGGCTTTCGGAGACAACCAGCGTTTGCTGTGTCACACGGTTAAGTTACAGTTTAGGAATTATGACCGGATCCCTGTATCCGCAGGATGGGTATCCGTGGTTCCATTTATCTGCGGTTGGAAAATATTACAAATTTTAAAAGAAAAAAAAAAGAAATACTGTATGTATTTCTATAATAAAATACAGTAAATAAATAAATAAATAATGTGATTATAGGAATTAAAATACAGTAAATAAATAAATAAATAAATGTAATTATCGGAATGGGCCACTGGAGGGAATCTGAGACCAAGCTGTGTATGGGGTTTGCTATGATCCACAGTTTTCAGCAACTGCAAAGGGCTTGGAATCCATTCCCCTGTGGATTTAGGGGTCCTACTCTGCTCCGAGATCGCCCCAGCTGACAGGCATTTCAGAGTCTGAGCACAGTGGCTGTAGGGCTAAAAGTTCCAGGGCAGTTATGCAGGAGGTGTTTGGAGATCTGGAAAGCACTTCATGGCTGCTGAATGTTGGCTGTAGTTTTTCATGCATGCAGGGAGGCAGATGCTGGTTAACAGCCGACAGGCCACGTCCGGTTGAAGCTATCCATGCCAAAAGGAAGTCGGCACCCGTCTCTGCCAGCTTGGCTTCTGTGGTCATTTTCAATCTGGTTGGGGAGCTTAATAATTATGCTAACTCGTTTAAGAGCCTCCTTAACATTGGCCAGCCAAAGCAGCAAGTGGCTGTCTCCTCCTTTGCTTCTTAGACCCTCTAACCCCACGGCTGCAGCCCGGCTGTGTTGACTCTTCCCGGGCGCTGCCGGGGGAGGAGACCCGTGAGCTGCAGCAAATAACCCTTTGAATCCCCTCTAGGTGATAACCTGCCTTGCAGATAATATTCTAATTGAGAATTTTATTGAACGATCTAGATGTTTGACCTGCCTTGTTCAGCAGGAACTGAGATGGGAAATGGTAAGAAGCCGCGAGGCCTGCCGATTGGCCCACGTCCATTGTGAATGCCTAATCGTGGATACAGCTTTTGTCCCTTACTAACTGGTCACCGTAACTTGGCTTGCTTGCACCCGGACTAATCCTGCATGTGAAGGGAGTGATGCATCCTTTGTGTCTCCCTGCCCCGCCCACTTCCCTTTAACTCGTCTCATGGAGGCAGCCCAGGACTTTGCCCCGTCTGTCTTTGACCACCTTGTCTTGGGCAAGCGGTGGTGCCCTCTGCTCCAGAATACGGAATACGTTCCTGCTTTTCAGAGTCTCTGATGTGCCCGCCAGAGGTGGTACCGCCTCTGGCCTCCTGCCTTCTCTTTCTCCATCCTTTTCTCGGGCGGGGAGTTGTTGGGGCGGGTCCCTCGCCACTGGCAACCGAGAAGGAGCGTCACGGCTCTGCAAGGATGACCTCCAGAGTCCTCCGGATTGACTGCTCCTCCGTGGCTTTGTGCCTCAACCATCCCAGGAGGCCCGAGAATGTAGGGGGCTGCTCAGGCATAAGAAAGACCTCTCGGGCTCCTAGGGGCTTGTCCAGTGGTTCCCAACCCTGGGTCCCCAGAGGTCCTTGGACTACAACGTCCAGCGGTCCTGGCTGGCACAGCTAGTGGAGAAGCCTTCTGGGAGTTTTAGTCCAAGAACATGTGGGGACCCATGGACTAGAGCCTTCTTGCACACTTGTGTGCATGCAAGCCAGGGCGGGGGTGCCCAGGGCTCAGGCCGCGATGTGGTGGACGCCCGGTTCTCCCATTTACCTGTTCCGGGCAGAGATCGGGAAGGACAGCTGGGATAGCATATAGCTCTTGTGTTGTCAAGGTCAAAAGTAGGGTTGCTCAAAGGAAGTGCCCTCGGAGGGGGGGATGTTGCCACATGTGCTTCCAGCTTTTCTGTGTGGGAGGGAGGGGCAGGGTGCCAGCCTAAAAAGTGTTGCTTTGTGCTCTGCAGAATTAGATGTGCGTTCTCTGCTTTGTTGTCTTTGAAGCCAGGGGTTAGGCTGTGGGGTGGGACAGGCTATGTTGCAGAGAAATGGGAGATGTGGAAGGGCCTCGTTAGGGCAAGATCCCTCTGGCAGGCCCAGCTCAGCTCGTTTCCAGGGTCTGGTAGAGTTACTGCCAGCAGCACGCTTTGTGATTTTCTAAGTGCCAGCCCACTTCTCCTGCCTATAAACCAGTCTTGCAGAACAAATCGAGTTCTGCTATCAGGGACAGGTTTACTTCCTTTATACGAGGCTGTCCATGCAAAAGCGGGGTCTGCCTTTTCCAGGTTGACCGGCTGGACCAACATTCAAACCAGAATAAGCCAGAACGTGGTAGAAAGTTCCCCAGCAGCCGAGAGAAAGCACATCCGTTGGCTCCGCTTTCCTCGCCTAAAATTAGGAATCGGGCTTATGATGGACCGCTCTGAAACCTGGAGGAGGAGCAACTTCATGATGCCTTAGGATATTCCATTTTTTCCACAAGGAAAAAGCCCCTGCCTTTATGGCTGCCCAGAGGGCAGGTATTCGTATGGGAGATGCGTCCCAGTTCCTTCCATCTTCCAAAAACAAAACACAACAAAAAGCCCAAAGCAGGTTGAACAAGGTTGCTCCCTTTGCACTTCTTGCTGGGGTCCCCATCTCCACCAGGAAAACTCTCCAGGACCTAGAAAGAGGCACTGAAATGAAAGCACAGCCCTGTCCAGCGGGCTTCTCCTCCCAGCCCCCAGCTCCCTGTCTCTCTCCCTCTCTCTGCTCACAAGGCGATCTCCATTCTAGCTTGTGTGTCTTCCAATCTCTTTTCTGCACAGACTCCAGTTCCAGCGTCCAAGAGCCACCCCGGGGCCTTCCTGGCCCAGAGCTTCCTGCGGTGGAACCTTCCCCTTTGCCGAATCCGAGTTCGCACAACCACCTTGTGCTTGACATCGATCACGATACCGAAAGCACTGCTTTGTAAGAAGGAAACCCAGCCAACCAACAGAAACCACTCCGAGGCTTTCTCCCCCAATTGGAATTAACCCAGTCAAGACTGAACAGTGAGAAGCTTAAAAAAATTTTTTTAACAAAATGATATGGCAGGCATGTCTCTGGAGAAGATAACCAAGCTATATCCGAAGAGGTTTTATGACCTGTGTCTTGACAATGATGCCTCGGATGAGGCTAGGGTGATCTGGCAATTTTTTAAAAAAAATAAAAAGCTTAGTTGCTGCTGTTAACCAGAAATGACATTTGCCGAAAAATCCTGAGAGAATCCAAAGCAATGCATGTATAATGAAAATAACTTTTTTTTCTTAAGAGCCTCTTGAATTTTTACTTCTAATTCTTTGCTCTTACCAAGGAGGTGGCTCACGAGAGACCTTCCGTCTCTGCCATGCTGCAGACTCTTTATTAACGTATGAACCAAAAATGAAACCCACAGGTGCCGAGAGGGTGGCTGCGGGTTATCGGCCACCTCTCAGAGCGGTGGACGTCTTCTTTTGTGCCTTGATGGACTCTTATCCCCGTAGAAGGAAACATTCTGTCTTGCTAACCATTTCAGTGCTACTCTCCCCTCCCCTTTTTTTAAAGTATTGTTATTTACCCCTTAATTTTTCATAGTTATTTGTATCTACCACCCTGCTTTGGTTTCTGTAACAGCCGTAGACAGCTGCTGTCAAGCTGAAAACTTTGGAATGTATGTATTGCTTTAAGTTCTTATAACGGAGTTGAAATTTGAAAGTGATTTTGAACATGTTTGGATTCATCTGTCGAGTAAAACTATTCTCACTTTCATTGCTATTAGACGAATTTATTCTAACTGCTGAACCTCCAACCAGAACAGCTTCCCTGCCATCATGTCCTCTAATAACAAATCTCGTGGATGAGCCCAAGTAAAACAGGGCCACCTGAAAAGAAGGATGATGACAAAATACTAAAGTGTTGGCGCTGGGACACAGAAGTATAAGCGTTGGTCAAAATAATGGTTATTCACTCCCAGAACAGACTGATAGGCGGCTTCTAGCATGAAGAGGATATTGAATTGAGTAATATGGGGGTTAATAAAGGCAGCAGGAATAGAGAAAGACCAGATAGTATGACTTCCTAAAGAAAAGCACAAGTTTGAGTTTGCAAGAGCTGAGCAGCACCATCAAGGACAGTGTATTTTGGAGATTCCCTCATTCACAGGGTCGCCCTGAGCCAGAAGCGACTAGATGGCTGGGACAGTGCAAAATGAAACAAGAGATAGTGCTGGAAGATGGGACTCTCAGGTTGGGGAAAAGCAAGGGACATTTGGGAGATCAATCATCCATGGGATTGCCATGGGTCGCCACTTGACAGCACAGAGCAACAATATGGAAGTAGGGCATGACTGATGGGAGCAATCTCCCACAAAAGGATGCTGTGTTCCACCAGACTAGGCTGTTTGCCTGTCCAGGCAGCCTGGGATTCTAGTTTGAAAATGATCTGATCTGTTTAGCAGATCAGCAGCAGGTTTTGGAGTAAGAGAAGAAAAAGGAGCTCTCCTTCCTGCCCCGCAAAACATCCTGACACCCTCATCCCTCCCTCTGGGGCTACAAGGCTCCTCTCCCAGACCGACCTGACTGATCAGGGAACGCCCTTGAATGTCTGCATGAAGGCATCATAACCTGGTTTGTTGCAATGCACAAATGTGTCTCTGCCAAGGGGGTCATCGTTTGTCTTCCTGCTGCAAACCACAGTTTATAGCCGTGGCTTGTTGTTGGTTCATAAAGGCCAGCTTGTTTGAACCATGGTGTGCCACGACCTCACGACTGTGGTTTGTCCCTGGTTGATTTTCCTACTTGTCCATTTTGAATCAGAAAGTGATGTATGGAGGGAAAAAACACCAGAAGTTGAGGAGACACATCTGCATCGGGTTGCTACACGGTAGGAGGTTTAAGTGAGGAATCACAGTGATGAACACAAACCGTGGTGTATTCAAATGTGAATGTGCCCACCTTTATATAGTGTGAGCACTCTCGACAGAAGATGCACCTTGCACAAGTCCCTTTGGTGGATGTGAATACTCAGGGAGTAGTAAACGGCAGGCTTTGCAGACCAGTTTATTGGTCTCTTGGTCTTTTGTGTCACGGCCAGAAGAGTGGGAAGTTCTGCACCAACTCTGCCACATAACCTTCAACCATTGCAGCTCCTTCGGGGTGCTCCTTCACTGACCGGGGCTCCCTCCAGACTGCGGTTCTTCAAGGAAGTTCCAGAGCGTGTCATTTGAACATATGAGCAGGAGTGGGCCACACTGTTTCTGCCAGAAAGAAAAGGTGAAAGCAACAACAACATTGTGTTAATCTGTATAGTAGTGACTGGAATCCTCTGGGTGGGTTCCACAGGGAAAGGGGAAATCACATCAGCTGGGATGGCAAATTGCCTGTGACTTATGAGGTGTGGTTATGTGATTTCTGGCTATGCCCTGAGCTACACAACGGGGCCTGCAACCCGTCGTGCTACTGGCATTTCCTTAATTTAGTAGCATTGACCTCTGCTTTTTTCTTGATTTTTACTTACACACCCACGAGTCACCCGTAGGGTTCCTGCCCAAAGCCCTGTAATCCTTTCTGCTTCTGCTTCAAACCCACCTACTCCTGGGGATACAAGAGCCTATCCTCGCTGAAGACAGCAGGGCAGGTGTTGGGGCAAAGGGGCAGAAGATGTCCTTCGCCCGTCTTCCACTCAAAGCAGGGCTGGCTCATTTGACAGTGAGGGCCAGGGTAAGGCCGTTCCCACATCCAGTCTCGGTTCCTTTGAGGAGACAGCAGTGCCTCTGCCACCTCAAGGCCCAGCAGCCGTTTTAAGCAAGGGACCAACCAGCCATTGCGATGGCAACAGACCCGTGCCTTGCATCGAGCTTGCACCCCATGCAGGGACAACAGCCGTTGCCCAAAGATCAGTGGCTTGGCCTCTGGCCCTTGGCGCACAGCGATTGGGGTAACAGCTGATCTGGCCATGGGTTGGGAGGAATGTATGCCAAATGGGGCCGGTCCAAGCTGCCCCTCGCTCTTCCACATCCTCTTGAGACCATTCGGAGCTGGGAAATAGCTCACCAAAGGTGACGCCATTGCCCCCAACTCCTTAGCTTTTACAACAACAGTTGAAAGCAGCGCCCATTTCATCATTAACCGCCAGCAGAGTTTTGAGGAAGAGTGACCAGTTCATGTTCAGTTGACCTGAGAGAACCTGGGCTTCCTCCAGCGTCCCAGCCCAGGGATTTTATTTTCCCACACTGCTGGCTCTGGACCTTTCTAAGTCAAGGGCATTTCATTCCCCGCTGCTGGGCTAGAAGGGGCAGGAAGGGAACCCAGCCGATCCTGTTGGTTACTCAGGATTTGGGCCTTTGGATCCCTCGGCTCCCTTCTGGTTGAGGCGCCCTCGGCGGGTACCTGAATCCATGCTGGGCTGCAGGGGGTTGCTGTACATCTCCAGAAATTGGGCAGGACTCAGGCATTCTTTTGCTCTGCACAAACACTGGATGGTTTCAGCCGGAACCAGCAGTTCGGGGACGACATTGTGAAGACATTCGCTCAGGCCTTTATTGCCCACCTAGAGAAGCAGACACAGCGGAACAGCGCCGCGTGGGCGAGTTGGAATTGGAAGCCCTTCGTCCTTGACCATCCTTTTCTGCTGGTTCCACCAGGAAGCAGCACCACGGAACAGCGCCGCGTGGGCGAGTTGGAATCGGAAGCCCTTCGTCCTCCATCCTTTCAGAGCTGTTGACCACCCTTTTCTGCTGATCCCTGGGCCAGGTGGGGGAGAGTCCTCCGCCCGTTAAAACACTGGAGTGATGATGCCACCCATGATGAGGAAGGGTCTTTAAAAGGAGAGGGGGGCTTTGCCCAAGGGGGCTCCCCCATTTGCTCTCCAGGGCTGGTTTGGGGACTCCACCCTTTATTTGTCTCTAGGCCTCTGAATGGCCTGGCCAGTAGAAGGAGGCATTCATCCACAAGGGAAACACTCTTATTAAAAAGAATAGCATAAAATAGCCAATTAGGAAAATAAATGCAATGGGAAAGGCAGGAGGCTAGTAAATTTAAAACACACTGGCTTTTAGCCTGAACTTTACAGTAGCTATAAAAATAATTCATCATTTGTACACCCCGAATATCGTTTATTCAGGGTGTACCTTCATGGGGACAGTAGAGGAAAGGTTGAGCCCAAATCTCTCAGCCATCCTACTTAACACCCATCTCACCTTGAGGGTTGCAAGGTAGACACCCAGTTTGAGGATGAGCGTCAGGCACTCGGTAATGACTTCCTCCGTAGTCTGGCTCTGGGTCACATCTTCAAGCGTAACCGGAACGTCCACCGTCGTCGTGTACCACTGTGTGAACAACCTGGTGGGGATGTTATGAGACATCACCACTATCTTAACATCCTGCAACAAAGCCCTGGAGGAGAAATAGAGATGGGCTCGAATTTAAAAAGGATGAGCGTCAGGCACTCGGTAATGACTTCCTCCGTAGTCTGGCTCTGGGTCACATCTTCAAGCGTAACCGGAACGTCCACCGTCGTCGTGTACCACTGTGTGAACAACCTGGTGGGGATGTTATGAGACATCACCACTATCTTAACATCCTGCAACAAAGCCCTGGAGGAGAAATAGAGATGGGCTCGAATTTAAAAAGTGAATTGTAACATCCTGCAACAAAGCCCTGGAGGAGAGAGTCAGAAATAGAGATGGGCTCGAATTTAAAGAGTGAATTGCAACATTCATCAGAAATTGCTAATTCATTGATTCATATTCAGCAGAGGTGACAACCCCTGACAAATGCAAATCAATGAATTTTCAGCAATTTTCAACTCATCGGGGGGAAAATTGTACATTCGTGATTCATCAAACTTGATGAATGACAGATTGCAATGAATCACCATAGATAGATAGATAGATAGATAGATAGATAGATAGATAGATAGATAGATAGATAGATAGATAGATAGATAGATAGATAGATAGATAGATAGATAAAGTGACAGGGGATCCATGCTGGGATAAGGCAGGAGAGGGATTCCCAAACTTAGTTGGAGCAGCCCAAAAGCTGGCTTCTATGTCTGCAGCTCTGCGTGGCCGTGATGTATTGTAGAAGTCACGTGTGAGCTTGTCTCAGGGATTCCCAAACTTAGTTGGAGCAGCCCGAAAGCTGGCTTCTATGTATTGTAGAAGTCATGTGTGAGCTTGTCTCTTATGGATGTAAAGGAGACTTGTTACATTCTTCATTTGTGATGATGGAGGAAGCCTTGGTAAGGCTGGTGCTCTAACTTCAGCAGCACATTGGGGCTCCATTAAGACTGACTGGGACCACCAACTCAAGGACTGCTACTATATGCTCAAGATCGCGAAGGAACACATGAATGAGGCCCTCTTTTCACACTGCAGCGTTCCTGCTCGTAGATGGTTTTTCTTTCCTATAAAGCCCAGCGCTGTGTGTCTTCCAGAAGGGGTGCCAGGAGTATTTCTACAAATGCATTTCCCCATACTTACGTCAGTCTGAGCAAATCAGAAATCAATCAGTCTTCAAGGCTCTCTGGTTTACTCGGGCTGAGACGCTTCCTTAAAAATCTTGTTTCTCTCGAGGGACAGAATTCTCTGCCTGTCCTTGCTGAACAAGCTCTAGCTTTTGGGATGGCTTACTTGGGCCCCTGCTTTTCCAAGGCTGCAAGGTCTGTGAGGATGTGGTAGAGAGTGCCACTGGATGCCTACAGAGAGGGGGAGAAGAAGCAAAGTTGAAAGGAGCCGCCCACGTGCCGCTGAAAGTGGATGCTTTGGCAGGAGCCATACGGAAGGAATAGAGCAGTCAAAGGGGCAAACTATTTCCTGAAAGATATTTATGAACCACTCATATCTGAAGATTTCATAATAGTGTGTAGCAATAATAAAGCACGCAGTTGGATAATCATCATGTGCTGTCCAGTCAATTCTGAATTACTACGGTGACCCTATTCAGGGTTTTCCTGGCAAGAGGGAATATCCAGAAGAGGTTGACCACTCCCTTCTTCTGGAGGTCCCCTGGGACTATGGTGCAGCTGGCCCAAAGCCACCCAGGTTGGCTCTTTTCTCTGGAGGCCCAGTAGGGAATTGAACGCCCAGCCTCTGGCTCCACAGCCAGTTAGCTAACTCACTGAGCTATCTAGCCAGTTACGTGCAATTTAAAGCAACACATAAAGGTACAACATTGACCTTAGCAATAAAACAAAGGCTGAACAACGCCATGATGCCATCAGTGAAGAAGCAGGGTGGGTCTGAGCTTGTACAGACAGGATGAGATGTTTGTTGAGCCACCCTGCGGAAGTAGAGGAAGGAATCCCCTGGAGTTGACCTACCTCAAGAATGTGGAGAATGCAGCGGGAATAGATCAGGAGGACGCCCGAGGCTGGTTCTCCCAGGTGGAACTTTTGAATCCTCTGGAAAAGTTGCTCATGGTAAGCTGGGAAAGACGAGAAGGAAAACGTGAACTGAGCAAGCATGAACTGAAAAAATCTCTCTCTCTCTCTCTCTCTCTCTCACACACACACACACACACACACATACACACACACACAGAGAAGCTTCATACACACACACAGAGAGAGAGAGAGAGAAGCTTCATGGGCCCCAAATGACACACAATGGTAGCTGTTCTGCATTTTTATTTATTTATTTGCAAGGGAATGTGGTGCATGGTGGCATTTACAGAAAGCACCCTCCAGTCCAAAACAGGAGAATGAATGGGATGTGCTTTGCCAGGTCCTTGCCGAGGGGGTGGGAGGGGCAGCAGCATCCTCTTTCCTGAAGTTTCAAGTCCAAAATCCTGCAGGAGCACACCCTTTTCATCTCATAGGGCAGGGCAGGCAAAAGTGGAGGGTAGTCTAGATCTGCTTTGGGGAGCAGTTGATTGACGGAATGGGCACTGGCCACTCTGGTCCCCCTGTAAAGGCCAGCATTGCTGTTGGAAAGCACAGGTGCCATGACTTCTGTATCCGGGTTGCCCAAGGGTTCCTATGCCCTTAAAGGTTTAGTTCTAACACCAAAGAAGAAGAACCACCCTCTCATTCAATGGGGTGTGAATCTGCTATGGAAGCTCTCCCTCCCTTTCCCCACCTTTCGCTCCCTCTGTGGAGGGAGCATGAGGCAGGAAAGGCTGTTTTTGTACCCTTGGGAAATAAGCTCACAGTAAAAATGGCAACTGTAATACCTGTGATCTCTCCATCCAGGACCTCTTCCCTCAACATGGCCACAAAGAACAGCCGATGCAGGAGGTATTTCTGAGTGGAAAAAACACCAGATGGTCCTGTTAGTAACCCCAGGCTCTTAGGACCTCTTTTTTAAGTCTTGCCCAAAATGGCACCATGAGGGATAGAATTGCCTAAAAGTATATTTATACACTTATGCATTAAATAAGGAAAGGCTCTGTATTTGAAGACAGGCATTTCACTTTTTTTAAAAAAAGAGAATACTTAATTTTAGTTCATTTAAATCTGTTTGCAGCATGCAGTACCAGCTCCAGTCACTAGGTGGCAGACAGCCCTTACTAGGAAAGAGGAAGCTGTGGTCGGGTCGGGTCTATTCATTTCCACAAGGAGTCTCTCTGGCCAGCTGGGATGCCTGAAGCAGCTGCCCTTCCCCTCACCGAGGACGCTAGGGCTCGTCAAAAAGTGCAGAGAGCCCCAGAGGTTCCCACTGTCCTGCTGCCTGGCCCTTGCTGGGAGTAGGAGAGTGAGGAACGGGGGAGACTGAAGGAATGGAGAGAGAAGGTAGACGCTTTGCTGGTGGAACCACAAGGGGAGACAGTAAAGTCTGGCCGTGGAGAGACTGGATGTAAAGAACAATACAGTGACCGTAGAGTGGCGTTGCTGGAAGGGACACCCTTTGGACCATCCAGTCCAGCCTCTGCCAAGGAGGCCCCAGTGCGGGGGAGGATTCGAACTCCGAGCCTTCTGGCTCTGCACTGAGCTGTCCAGCAGTTCAAAGGGTGAGGTGGGCCACCACCCAAGTAGACCATGCCAGGCGTCGACTGTGAGATCGGGCTGGGGCCAAAGAGAACAGAGGCGGAGCGACGAAGCTCCGGAAGGGGCACCAGATGGACCTGAACTGGGCCACCACCACCACCCTCCCAGTTTGAGGTCCTCTTTCCTCTTTGGGTTGCCCGCTCTGTGTGTCCCCCCCCCAGCCACCTTCATCTGTTGCCTCCGCTTCTCCTCCAACGCGCTGAGGAGGGTGCCCCTCGGCACCGAGTCGGTCACCAGGTTGGCCATCTTGCTCCACAGGACTGTTCCGGAACCCCCAGGGAAGGCGCCGAGGCAACGGACGTGAGGAGGGAAATGGCCTCCCCCAGGACCGGTGCCTTCACGATGCCCTCCTCCGGGCAGGTGGGTTTCTTCTCTCTCTCTCTCTCTCTCTCACACACACACACACCCCAAAAGAAAAGAGAACAGGAACAGAAATCACATATTAGAGGCGGTGCATTGAAACGGCTTTCTGATGTGGCTCAAAAGCAAACCCTAGAAATCCTCTGTATTTGCTGACCGGGAGTGCTTTCTCCAGAAAGAAGGTCCAAAAAAAAACCTCCGTCCCAAATTCAATCCTCTGTATTTGCTGACCGGGAGTGCTTCCTCCAGAAAGAAGGTCCAAAAAAACCCCTCCGTCCCAACAGGTGGGGCTTCAGAAATAAGGACCCCAATCCCCAAAAAAACTGGGCATCCAGGCACTGAGAAACGAGGAGTCTTACAGACACCGAAATATCCAGGGGACGGTTGTGTTAGGGGAGCACAAAGGTGGTGGGGTTTGTTTCGCTCCAGGCTGAAGTCAAAACAGCCCCATTGGAGTCACGGAGGCTGATGTTCGTCCTGGTTAACTCCAGTTGCACACATCTGGATGGGTCGGCTCCTGATACGACTGAATTTAGATCCTGCAAGCAGCAAACGAGAGCATGGATCCCAACGGAAAAAGGGTACAAGCAGTAAATTAAATAAATAAATGCATCTTTGGTGTTTGGTTGTGTTCTATTCTATGTTTAGATTTATTCATAGATTGAATAATGCCTAGGTTTTCGGTGGTTGGTTGTGTTTGTCTAATTTATATTTCCATTGCTCTTAGAGAAAATATTTTAGGAACAGAAAGTAAGATCTAGAGTAGGGTAGCGTGCCAAAGAACAAATTTGGCTGTTTTATATCTTTTTGAAAAGTGAAGATCCAGTTCAGTGAGAGATTCCGGGGACCCCTGAATCCTTTTATTCAAAACCAGAACAGGGCAAACAAAAAGGCCAATAAATGCTCCATTTAGTTTGCTTCTCTTTTTTTTTTATTGATAACGCAAATAAGTATATCGTTTGAAACATGTTTTATAAAACAGAAAATCAGCTGGAATAATATTTTGGGGAGAAGTGTTCCTTCTCAGAAAGAAGCACGCAGAAACCACCGAGTTAGCTAAATAGATTTATTGTCAGTTGGAACAGATGTACTTGCATCGCTAAATTTCTTTTCCTCAGCGAAGGCCAGACGCCTCAGATCACATTTCCAAAGGAAGGAAGAAAGAAAGAAAGTTTTGGAAAAATGCCCCCCCCCCTGAATTTCTTGGGTGTGGCTTTGCCCTCACGTAAGACTGCACTACGCAAGAATCGCCTCTCTGCGCTGTAAATTATATATGTAATATATACATATATATGATGGACAGCCCCAGATGTCCTTTGATTCCTTTCATATAGTACCGTTCCCCAGTGGAATATTTCTGTAACATACTGGTGAGGTGGGTTATTGCATCTTCGGGAGACCTAAACACAGCAAGACAAAGAGAGGCACCTATCTCCATTCAGAAAAAAATAAATAAAAATAGAATTGAAAAACAGACTATGAAAAAAAAGAAAGAAAACAAGCACCATTATATTACTCATAAAATACTCTGTAAAAATACTATTTGCATTTTTATGTACAGTAAAAGGAACACTGTCAACACACCCTCCGGTAGGGAAATTCCTCCTTTCCTCACAAACATATGACTCTAGGACCCCACTATCCACAGGATCAGTATCCACTGATTCATTTACCTGCTGGCTGCAGGTGTACTAAATAAAAAAGCCCCCAAATAGCTATTTATATGTTTTTTCCAGCTAGTATTCACCCGAACTGGCTGTGAGAGGGAGCCAGAGGCCATGCAATGGATACTGTTCAATGCTTCCGGTGGTTTTTTATGCTTCTGGGGCGGGATGGGGGGGGGCTTGGACCAAACCTCTGCAGATACCATGGTCCTCCTGCATATCCCCCCCCCACTCAGAAAAATCCTACATCTTCCTCCCTTCTGTCCCTCCGTGCTTGTTTTGTGAGAGGGGGCACAGCTGTTTTGCGAACCAGAACATGCTGCCTTGATTCACACGGGGGTCTTGCAACTGAGGCAATACCCAGCCCCTTGCTTTAAATATCCCTTCACTCCTCCGGCAAAACCTTGTTCAGCACCTAAAATGCTTCCCAACAGAGAATCGCCGTTATCAAAACAAAAAACAGTCAACTACTGGAATATAGAGAGCAGTACGTTATCAACAGGCCTGTACATCAATCATCATAATCACCTTTGTGCTGTCAAAGCCACATCTGGCTTATCAAACACAGCTGCATGTGTATGCAGGGGAGGAAAAGAAAACGGACAGCTTGTGGGCTGGGCAGCCAAGGAAAGACCCAACAGGGCTCGGAGCCCATGGAGGAGAAGAGCGGTCCTCTCTGAAGAAAGGCGTTGTTTACGCAGGGCGGCGAGGGATCCCCAGGATGTACAGAAATCCTTGTTCATGGCGTGATGTTGGTTCTCCTCTACAGAGGGAGACCTGAAAGCTTTCTTTCAGGGAAATTGTGCTGGTTATCTTACATTTCAAAGTGACTTACACTTGGTAGTGCAGACATGCGCCCGGGGCATTTTTGTGTATGGTGGATGCCAGGCTGATGTTTCACTGCCATGATATTGGTAAGATGGACATTGGATGACCATTAGGTGGCAGCACCTGCCAGTGTGGCTGTTTCCCCCATGGTGGGGGCGGCGGCGAGAGTGTCCCTATAAAACCACCAATGAGGGCAGGAACAGACATCAGAGATAGACCAAATGGACCTTTTTGCTCCTTAGTGTTGGAGACACTTGATTCAGGCAGGAGTTTGCACTTAAGAAACCCAGTTTCAAAGCAATCCCGTATTTAAGTCCTGAAGCCCAGTCACTAACATTTGCGAATCTAAACATTGCATGAGGGGAGAGAAGCTCCTGCTGTTTACTCAGAGGCTTTTGGCAGCTAAGGAATTCCTTCTTGTAATGTCAGGTGCTCTATAATGTCTGTTTCTGCCCTGAGCCCAGGAGGGCCGTGCCTCTCCCCATGAGGAAGTGTATACCCAAAGAAAGGGTGTGTATCCAAAAGAAAATTCTGCCAAGCAAGCCTTGGCCACACCTTTGTCCTTCATCGGGATCGGGGGCCCAATTATGCCGAACGTACTTTGTTGAAATGGGCGCCCTTGTAGAAGGTCTGCGAGGAATCCAGCAATTTCTTTACTTGCAGTTTTTAAAAACAGTACATAAATACATATCTTAAGGATTATAGTCTCTCTTGGCAATTCTTAGCAGAATTCCAGCACTGTCTAGGGCTGAGCGGCCGTGGTCCCTTTCCGAGGCGCGACCAGAGACTACGCAAAGTAAGCCCAAAGGAAGACGCAGGCGCACAGGCTCAGGAGCAAGTTGAGGTTCAGGACATGCTTCACCCAGGGGGGGTCGTCCCGTGGTGCCGTGGCGGCGTCTGTTTTCCTCTCAGAGGTCATCTCTGGCGCTGGCGTGTCCTTCCCTTCGCGCTCCATCCCACAGACCCACAGAAACAAAGTCATCAGCTTCGAGGCCTTCTTAGCCTCCAAGGGACCTGGAGAGGAGAAGGAGAGAGAGAGAGAGGCAGCCGTAAGGCCACGATCCTGTTGGAACCTTCTTGGCAGCCCCATCCGCATCCTCTGTTAAGCATTTGCAGAGGCAGGAAAGGTGCCACTCACAGGCGCCGCTGTTGTAGGCGGATGGGGGGCCATCGCTGATCTCAAACTGGGCCAAAGGAGGGAGGTCGGCTTCGTGGATTTTATCCGCAGGGACGGACGGGAGACCCTGAGAGACCGGCGGGACCTCCTTCTCCATCGGAACGTCCTTGCGCGTGAACCACGTCAGACGGTGGATCTGTCCAGACAGAACAACCGGGTGAGACAGAGAAACTTACCCCTCTGTTCAGAAAAGGCAGCCTAGCGGGTGGGGTGGGGTATGAAAATGAAAGAACAAACAAACGAAAGATGATGTCAGGTTGTTCACCAATACGTGGGTGGAAATGATGAGGAGTAAAAGCACATTAATCACGAAGGGACCTGATTCAGACAGATGTTTGCAAGTCAAGAAACCGGATGTGGAGCTGTGCTCAAATCCAGGACAGAGCAAGCAAATTGGCAGATTACACCCAGGCCATAAAAAAAAACCCAGGTGTGCACTCAGAGGATTTCAGCAGTTAAGGAATTCTCTTTCGTAATCCCAGGCTGTCTATAATGTCTGTTTCCCACCCTTGGCTTGATGCATTTCTGTAGGCTCCTGGGCCACTCAGATCTGAGCGTCCCTAAGAGCCGGGGGACCCTCAGAGGCTGGCGCACCCTTTCTTCCGGAGGAGGCTCGGTCAGGAGGCTCGCCACTACCACCACGATCAGGGAGATCAACGCCAACAGCATGGAGAAGTACAGATAGTGCACTTTTTTCACCACAACGGGCCGGTCATCCGGGTGACCACACAGCGGCTCCTGGTAGACAAATTCTAGAACCATCCGGATCAGACCGATGGCCATTCCAACCAAAAGGCCACAGAACGCGCCCTGGGAATAAAAAGGGCAAGATCGTGTCGGAACAAGACGTGTTGGGAAGCACCACAACACCCACCCACACACGAAGAGCAACCTTTTCGTTCGTCCGCTTCCAGAAGCAGCCGAGGAGGAAGACGATGGCCACGGGGGGTTGGAGGTAGGAGCTGATGGTCTGGATGTAAATGAAGAGCTGCCCGCCTTGGCTGGCCTGCACCAGCGGGATCCACAAGATAGAAATGACCACGAGGAGGACGACAAACACCCTGCGGCAAGAAGAAAGGTGCATTTCACATTTTCTTAAAATAACGAATAATAATCATTTCAATGTTCTCCATAGTCATCAGGGCATCGGGGAGAACGCCACAGGATTTGATGGAATATTATCATCGGGGCAGGTCTCTGAAATAACACCATCACTCCTTCCGAAAATATCAATGCAGCCGGACCCCCGGTATTCACAGGGTATGGGTTCCAAGGCCCGGCCCCTCCCTTGCAAACGCCAAAGCCCCGTGAATAAGAGTGGACCCTAGACATACCATGGTCTCTGTCGCCCTCTCATGGCCAGGTCTGGTCACTAGATCATGGAAATAGGTTTTCCTGTTTCCTTGTAATATTTTTAATATTTTGGATAAGTGAAACTGTGTATACCGATCCCATAGGGGTCGTACTGTATTAGGAACAGCATACATACGACGCCGATCATTCACTGATACTACGGCTTTTGGTTAAAACTTGTATGAGTTATGTAATACCAGTCAAAGACAGCCTCTTGTATTTCCAAATAATGACGATAATACTTGTAATGGACGGATGGGGCAGCCAGCAGTTTTGGGTACTGCTGTCGGGAGAGAGAGACCCTGTCCCTCTCCAGGGTCCGCCCGAGGTTTCCAGGCTTGTCTCCCACCTGCCGACGATCATGAGTTCCCACTCGGAGGAGAGCGGCCGGAACTGCCGCCACAGATCCATGGTGAAGATGGTGCTCGCGCTGTTGAAGATGGAGGTCAGAGAGGACATCAGCGCTGCAATCATGACGGACATCATGAGTCCCCTCACCCCTGTGGGCAAAGGGAGGGAGGACGGCTGAGCATCGCGAGAGAGCATCGCGAGAGAGCACCCCCCCCGACCAGAGAAATCCGGAGGTCACTCTGCAAGCCATGTCATTTCCCGAGTCCTCCTTTGCACCCAGATCCAGGACAGGAGAACATGAGAACCGGCAGCCGTGGTTGCTCGTGGCGGTTGGTGGCACAAAGAAGGACAGCAACCCGTGGCAGGCAGAACTAAAGATGACACCAAAGGTTCTTGGGATGATTTTGAACTACAAATCCCATTATTCTCCATTCTAGGCTTTCCACCTAACATAAAGACACTCACAGAGAACCTAAATGTGGCTCGCCTGGGAGAAAGGCCTAAGCGGGAGGGCTTGGCGGCCTAACTAGGCCTAGCTCCATGTGGCTTTTCCTCAGAAAAGAAGCACTGGGGCAGCTTCCTTTCTCAACAGGAAGCGAGGTCTAGCTCAGCCGCAAGGCCTTTCTGCCAGGTGAGCCACATTTAGGTAGGGGAAGTTTAAAAACCTCAAAGACTGGAAAGACAGCATATTTTTGGTTTTAATACAGTGTCCAGAATCCCTCGCCAGCCAGGCTCTGGAATTGCTCTTCTAAACCTATGTATCTGCCAAGAACATATCCCTCCTCAGAGAAAGGACAAGACTAAGGTTCGCGTGTGCGCCCTTGAGGTTTGGCAGAGATTCTTTGGGCCCACTGGAATATAAAGGGCTGTTTCGTTTTGTTTTTAAATTGAGAGAAATTAAGGGAGAAAAAGAGCCTCACCCAGAGGGAGCAGCTCGATCACCAGCTTGGGGTAGGCAATGTCCGAACACCCCGACGGGTTGCGACAGACCCTTTTGCAGCTCTCCGCATCTGCACAGGCGACAAGATCTGCCCGAAAAACGCCGGTCCACGTAGTCGGGAGCAGCAAAGAGAGACAAGGAGAGACACGGAGATGGACTTATGTGCGGGCATAAGTGAAAGCCATGCGTCGAAGAGGGAGGTCTTTGAGCCAATGCTGCAGAACCGGACTGGACACATGGAATTTGTTTCCCCCCCCCCCCCCCGGAAATTGGAAAGGGCCTCCAATGACCATTCCTTCTTACCTGGAAAAAGGATCCGGCTGATCATGCCAGGGAAAACCATCATGAAGAGGGGCAGGATTTTCAGGTAGGAAGCCAGCAGGGCCCCTCCCTTGGCGTGAGAGAGGGTTTTGGCTGCCAGAGACCTTTGCACAATGACCTGCGTGGAAGAGGGGGAAAGACCTTTCGGCACAGGATCCGCGTTTCCCCAATTTGGTGCTTCCCTACTCGAACGGAAGCCCGCCAAGGGATATATGTCCAGGGCCTTCTGTGGTGTGCAGTGAGCGTTGCTAAAGACCACACCAGCACGTGCGAACCTTCACGGAAGCCACCACACACACACCCCGGCCAACGTTGGCCGTTCGGCTCAGCTGAGACCTCGGAGCCCAAGCCATGGAGCGCTCGGGAGAGCAGGCTGGGCCGGGCGCCATAAACAGAGGAGGACGGCTTTGGGCGTGGGAAGCCCAAGTTTGAATCTCACCGGCACTGAGTGGGCAAAGGTATGGCACGTTGAGGAGGACGGCTTTGGGCGTGGGAAGCCCGAGTTTGAATCTCACCGCCACTGAGTGGGCAAAGGTATGGCACCTTCTTAGGTCACAGGAGAGGCACGGCTCCCGCTTTCCCCACGCAACTCCAGTTAAGATCCAGAGAGACCAAGAGGGAGGGAGGGATCAGGACACTCGCCGTGTTCCCACAAACCACGCCACGGGGCAGTGGCTGGGCTGCCCCTATAATGCAAGACTCTCCCTGGCACCTTCAGCCAGAAGGGGAAACCTACCTCGCGCCATGGAGAGCGGCTTACCTGGTCTGTGCACCAGTACCACAACGACGGGATGGTCCATCCGATCAGGACGCCAGGCCAGGGCACGTCAGACGTGATGGGGTCCCGGAGGACGTGGAAAGCGTCTTCTCTCGGCAAACCGCAGCTGCTGTTCCTTGCGTGGTTGCTGGCGATGGCCTTGAAGTATCGGTTCTGCAGGTCTTCAAATCCATCAACCTTGGCAAAGCCTTTTTTAAAAAGGAGCAGGAAACCGTCCTCACTGTTTCTGCAGGGTTTGAGTGCTTGCTTCCTATGGGCGTCTTGAAATATATGTATATCACTCAATTCAAATTAAGGGAGGGAGGATTCTATAGAACAGTAAATGGTTAGATCACAGTTCCGCTCCCTATGCTCTTCTCTAATTGAACATAGCTGCTCACGCACATACCCTATGAATCTTCTATCAAGCATATGAATAACCATTGAGAATTCCTCATATGTATTACCCCTGTATTCCTGTCCATAACACTTCATATATATTACCACTGTATTTCTCTTCAGAACACTTCATCTATATTTACTTCTGTAATTCTATACACATCATTTCATATATACTGCCTCTGTAATCTTACTCAGAGCATTTCCTATACATTATTTCTGTAATCTATTCAGAGTATTTCATACGTATTGCTTCTGTAATCTTAGTAACCCTTAAGACAGGAGAGTGGCTGAAAACAATCCATAGTCCCATTCAGAGTAGATCCACTGCATCAGTGGAATTTACAAAAGTGTTGAATGTTCAGATTGAAGAGATCAACTAAGTTGGGCTCCTCTTTAGATTCAGGACAACGCTATTACCCGGACAGACGTTGCAAAAGAATGGTGCTTAGAGTGTGGGGGCTCGCTTGAAGCCAGCTTAGAAATTAGCGGTTAAAGCAATATTCCCCTCGGAGTGTTCTCGGCTCAGGCTCTCAGGCGTGGCACGGTAGGGGCCCCTCCTTGGCAGACCCCCCCACCAGCTGCATAGGTCGCTGCAGCCCTCGGCTGCCTGCAATATGGAAGGCAAACCTCCAGCTTCCTTCCCGCCAGATACTCACTGAACCCCATCAGCGTCAGGGCGCCAGCCAGCATGATGACGGTCTGCAGGGTGTCCGTGTAGATCACAGCGGCCAGGCCACCTGCCGGTGGGAGAGAAGGAAGGAGGTCTCCGGAGGTCACGGCATGTTCTGAACAGCCACATCTTCTTGGGCCCGTCTCCCACCGTGGGTGCTTGTGCTCAGGAAGAAGGGGCACGCACGAGGTCTCGGTGTTTGTGAAAGCAACTTCTCTCTCTCTCTCTCTCTCTGGCACACACACACACACACAATTTCACATGCCTTTTTGGTGTGGTTCGGGTGGGATGGCACAAATCACTATGCTGACTCCTTGCTGCCAAGTATGTTTTGTGCACGTACTCGTGGGAAACCAAACCTGAGACCCCAAATCTCCTGCAAGGCAGAGCTCTCTCTCCCCACCCCGGGGGGGGGCTTCCAGAGGCTCACACCCACCTGCGACAGTGTAAATGGCGGTGATGACCAGCAGACCTCCGACAGCAACATAGAGATCCCAGTGCAAAGCCTGTTGAATGAACAAGGCTCCGGCGTACATGTCCACCTGGCAGAGAGAAGAGCCATTGGGAGGGGGGCGTGAGCAGGAATCCGCCAGAAATGGCTTGCGAGGTAGACGCAGAGCTGGCACCGGCCCTTGCAGGAGGCGGCTGGAGAAGAGCCGGTCCCTCATGGCAAGAGACAAGCCCTTCTGTCTCTTAGATCCACTGGCTTTTGCATACCCTGTGAACCAATTCATTTGACACACACTCTTTTCGTGCAAGGAGGGGCTCTTGGGAATAAGAGCCTTCACCAGAACAGGATGGGCCAAAATAACCTGCCGAATATATATATTTCCCCTCTATGTGACCAGTCATCACCAGAAAGCATTGGTTCTCTAGAATCAGATGTACCTATTAGAAATATGTAGGGTTCCCCCCTGGCACCCCATGTAATGTTTGCAGACCCCATTGTTCCATCACCCCTTGTGTGGAAGGTGTATCTGTGGCCCCCACCCTCGAGGGCACACCTGCCCCGCCCAGCCGGAGCGCCCTGACCCCTCTTGAGTCCAGAGAGTTCTCAGGGCTGGTGGTTTAAGGAACGAGCTTTGTCTTTCCTGCTGTGCGTCAGGGCCGGGCTCTCCAGCAGAGGAAACTCTCCTCCCCCCACGACCCACCCCTGGACTCCTCTGAGGAGGGAGCCATGGCCGTGCAAGAGAGCTCAGGCGGCTGCAGCTGTCTCGGGTGGGTGTGCTTCTCATTCCCCTTCAAGCCCCCTCCCCATGGATCTGACCCCGGAAAAGTCGCCTTGCTCATGTGTTTCCGCCCAGCGTTTCCAGATGTGAGCGCTCTGCGTGTGGGCCTTTGTGGAACGGGCTATCAGATGTGCAACACAATTTGTCTTTGTGTGCAGAGAAAGCTCGGTGCTCACGTACGAGCCCGCGATGCCACCGCCTCCGGGACCCTTACGAAAGCCGAAGCCCCCTGGTCCCTCCCCTCCTGTCTGGGACTTTTCTGCCCCATTGCGATGTTTGCAGCCTGACCCGCTGGGGCTGCCCAAGCATATATCCCATTAAAGTTTATGAGAAACATCAAAAGGCAGAAAAAAAGGTCACTTGTTCATCATGCGTGGACCTACTCTTTCCAAGCCAATTCTGTTCTGTCTCCTCTTGTTGCCTTACTTACTGAGATTTTCGTGAAAATATAGATAAACAAGTAGAGAATGGCTAGGAAGATCGGGATCCGTTTGCCCCCAAACCGTCTCTGCAGATATTCTGGCATGGTCGTCACCTGTGAGGAAGGAGGCAGCGTGGGCGAACAGGGCAGAGGGAGGAGCGCGCCCAGGATCACCAACCAGCGGCTGGATGTGGGAAGCCCTGCGAGGTGCTTGGGGTGTGATGCACATGGGCTTCCCGGGGCCCCCACCTCCCAGCTCAGCATGACAATCAGCGGAACAGAAAGCCCCCCCCCCCCGGACATCGCTGACTCCATTCCGGCGCCTATTCAAGTTTACAAGGGCTCTCTCTGGAACCCTGGAAGACATGGCCTGGCGGGACAGGAGCATGTGCTCGGTCCCGTGGGGCATGATGGAGCATGACCCCCTCCACTGAGGAGGCTCTTGATGGACGTGGCCGCGATCAGTGGCCATCCGCTATGGAAGTCAGCCCATCTCAGCCTTGGGTCACCCCGAGGGGAGGTTTCTTGAACTGCAGCTCCCGGGAGCCGTCACCACCAGCTGTCCTGGACGTGGTTTCTGGGAAATGCAATCCAAGACACCCCGGGTGACCCAGGGCTGGGAAGCCCTGGTCTAAGTCCTCTGAGGTGGGAGACCTTACTGAGCATGACCTTCCTTAAGGCCTTGGCATCATAATCTTGGCTTCAGAATTGTTCACAATCTAATGAAAAAAGGGGCCCTAATAAGTGGCCTTTTTTGTTCTCAGCCCTGATGTTGCCAGGCACGCGAGAATCTTTCTGGCACATGGAATGAGAAATCAGGGCTTCAGAAATGGGGTACTGGACCCTTGACAGTCTCCTACCCTCCCCCAATGGGATGGCTGGATGCCCTGCTAGCCAGAGGCAGCCCGAGAGCTGGGCCAGGATACTGAGAGATGCCAATGAGAGAGTCTCAGGGGATCTGCTTTCATAATCACACCTTTTTTTAGCATTTGAGGGAGCACTTTTTCTAAATACAGGATCAGCATCTCCTCTAGTGAGGTCACCTAGCAGCTTGCACTTCTGTTCTCCTCTGCAGCTTTGTTCTGTCTGTTGCGCTGCCCTTTCCCTGAAATGAACTGGCTTTTGGTGGTGCTGCTTCCAGAGGGGGCGAATCAGGAAGCGACCGTTCCTTCCCCCCCCCCCCGCATCATAAAGTGCTTCCTCTGACACAAAGCTTTACTGGAAGAGGCAGAGTGTTCGGGGCAAACATGAACTATTTTGAGAGTCTGTGAGTGCCCGGCTGGCAAAGCAAGGGGGAAGACCAGCTGCTGCTAATCTCCGCCTGAAAGACCCCCCGTGTGCTCGGTAAAGACCCAACAGGCCTGATGGCGAAACGATTTTATTGGGGATCAAACTATCTGAACAAGCAAGGGTGTATTGCCCCCCCAGCCCCCCCATTGTGGACTGTAGACTCACCCCGGCTGCAATGTAGATGGGAAGGAACAGCCATGCCATCACTAGAACACAGAACATGCCCTGCAGAGAGACACGAACGCCAGGTCAGAAACGAGGAGGGCCCCCTTTGGGGGTTCAGGTGATATTCCCTTAAGATTTGGGGGGAGGATGGAGGGCAAGAGGGACCAGGTTGGCTCTACCCAGCACCAGGCTTTGAAAGCCCACCGTGAACAAGAAGGGGGTGCTGTGGGGCTTTTTATGTGCCCGGCTGAGTCTGGAAACTCCAGAAATGGGACTTAAGAAGCTGTCCTCTGTGTTGCAACACTGAACACTGAGCATGATTTATGTGCCTTTCACTCCCTGGGCGGATGCTTGGGGCTGAGATTTAGATCTGGCAACTCTCTTCTGTCACTGAACTGTTGATATTTAATTTTCCTCCCCTCTGCATTGGGGATGGTTGGCGATGTTCTAGCTCTGTCCTGTGGCCGGTGGAGTTAGCGGGAGTTGAGGTGTGGCGGTGATGGTGTGTGACCCACCCTCACAGGGGTGGTGAGCGGGGTGTGTGTGTCTCCCATACCACCCAAGTACAGCCCTTTTGCCTGAGTCTAGCCAGTAACCAGGGTCAATTTGCCTGAGGTGTCATATCTTTTCTTGCTGTTTGCTCCGTTCTCTGCACTAGAGAAACCACCCGGGTCAGTTCTGTTTTCAAGGCAGGAGAACCCCTTGGCAGTTTGTCCGTGAAATGCACACATTGTGTGCTTTAAATCCAAATAGGTGGCCTCATACATGGCCTGCTCGGTTTGAATTTAGGTGATTCCGGAGCATTTTAGTTCAGCCCTTTCTCTCATGCGTCTAAGCAAGGTGAAAACATGTGGTCGCCAGCTGGTCCCTGTTTCATGGACTGGAGCAGGGAGAGGTGCTTAAATGTCCCATGTCATCCTTATTAAAATTTTTGTTACTCTTTAAACAGCCAGGTTGGATCAGAACTACATGCGTGCCAAGGAGGCGTGGAGTTGGATGAGTCACCCAGAAAGCGACGGTGCCAAAGGGGCAGGGACCCCGTTTCCCAATCGAAGGAGGAAGCAAATCAGCGTGGCCTCACTCTGAAGCCCCAGGAGGCTGAGGAGAGAGCAGCATTTCCAAAAGAGAGCCATCCAAGAGACGCCCGGCTGCAAGGGTTTCACCAGCTGATAAACCACGCCTGGCACCGCCAGAAGCGAAGGCACGCCTGTGGATCAGAAGGCGGCCTCCCCCTGTGCCCGGGACGGCCAACGCTGGGGAGGGGGATTGGATACTCACGCTCCACTCGTAGGCGATGGCGGCAATGCCCGAAGCTGCCCCAGAGCCTGCCAGGCCGATGAAGTGCCCGCTGCCGATGTTACTGGCAAAGAGGGAAGCTCCCACCTGCCCAAGAGAAGCCGTTCAGTTGCGGCCTCAGAGCTGCTTCCCCCACCCTCCC